CGAGCGGAAGCCCTGGTTAGTGAGGGCATCTGGTGGGCCAGGTCCTGGTTAGTTACTGTTCAGTAGGTGAAGATGGGCTGGGACTTGGCAGAAGGGGTGTGAGGCTCTTGCCTCTCCTGTCGGGAAAAATGTGAAATCACAGAAGGAAGTTAATCACGTTATCCTTGTTAAAATCAAAACACACATTGGAGTCAGGTTGTGTTTTTGATACAACTGGAAGGAGGAGGTGGTCTGACTTGAATGAACGAAGAAAAAGAAAGCAGATGTGGGGAAATACACAGAGAAAGTGGGGAGCAGGGGAGTTCCCACACTGCCTCCTTCCCTAAAAGATAACGGATTTGCCTTTGAATTAGAGCCTGGACGCCTAGGCCGTCCACAGCTTGGAGCTCACACACGGGTCTCTGACCCCTCTGACCTGGCATCTCGTAGCTGGCACGCGGCGGCAGTCACGTGGCCTCTGGTGAGGTCCAGGCAGGGGGAGATAACGGGGTCCTGAACCTCCAGAGCCTGCTCGTTCGACGTCCTTGTGATCGCGGCCGCCTGACTCTCCGGAGCCATTCACCTGGTTGTCCTCATTCAGAAAGGCCGCCCTGGCTGCTGGTGGGTGGGTCCCCTTCCCTCTGACGCCTTCCTCCTCCCTCCTGCTGTGCCTCGGGGCTCCCCGGGGCTCCCAGCCCTTCGGCCCCATCCACCCGGGCTCTGGCCTCGGGCAGAATCGGGGTCAGGGAAGAACTGGGGAAAAGAGGAAACGGAGCGCCTTTGTCAACAACCCAGGCGACTTTGTTCTATGTACGCATTTCCACCCGACGCCCCCTCCAGCCTGCCCCAGCTGTCCCCAAACTTGTCCTGGGGCCCCGGCCTGTTGCTCCTAATGTATTTCTTATCCCAAACCTTCTTTCCGTAACCTCAGCCTCACTTCCACCCGGACACACAGGGCCCACTTCATTCCCTAGAATCAGAGGAAGTGTTCATCACAGTTTGGGAGGGTGCGTGAGGGGATCTTGAAACCCCATTTCAGAGCCCTGAATGCATTTGCCCATGGAAATCATGACACAAGTAACGAGCATCTGCCATCACGCTTCACACTAGCCTCTAACGGAACTGTGCATCTTGACGACTCTGGATTAAATAGGCTTTCATTGGATCACGGTCTGTCTGTGCCACTCCACTGGCTGCGTGTGTTGGGCCAGTTCCCTGGTCTCGTTCAGCCTCGGTTTCCCCATCTGCAGAAATGGGGGGAGCCGGGTCTGTCAGAGGACCGTCGTGAGGCCCAGATCATGTAGATGTCAGTGAGGCCGGGCCCCTCCCTACCCGCCCCTGACACACACCTGCCTCCTGCTTTCACTGCACCAGCCGCCATGTATCTCTGCTCCCGTAAGATAATGTTTCCCAGGTGCCAAACGCCTGACGGGCAAAGTTTCTGTTTGGGTGGCCGTCTGGCACGTAGGGTCACGGCCAAGAGTGTTCAGAGAGGACATAGACCCTCTCCTGGTAAAATACCTGAGGAAAAAGTAATTCAACACCCAGCTCAACACCAGTTAGTAAGAGTAATAATTGTCATTCATAAAGCACGTTCTGTGCTTTATATGTATAATCTGAATTTGGGTACCTGTTTTAGGCTGATTTGTCCACCCTCAAAATTCATATGTTGATGTCCCATTCCCCAGAATCTCAAAGTGTGACTGTATTTGTATAGGGCCTTTAAACAGGTAATTAAGTTTAAATGAGGTTTCTTAGTGTGGCCCTAATTCAGCATGACTGGTGTCCTGTAAGGAGAGGGAATTAGGACGCAGAATGCAGACGCAGTGAGAAGGCAGCCGTCTGTAAGCCAGGGAGAGAGGCCTCCGAAGGAATCAGCCCTGTTGACCCTTCGTCTGTGACTTCCAGCCCCCAGAACCATGAGAAAACACGTTTCTGTTGTCGAAGACCCCCAGTCTGTTACGGCCCCCCCTCACAGACTGATCCAGTGCCATCGTCCACATTTTAGGGTAAGAAAACTAAGACCCAGAGAGACTAAGTAACTTGCCCAAGAGCACACAGCTAATTAGTGGCT